AAAAAAAAAAAAAAAAAAAAAAGTTCTATAATTTTCTACAATGAAAATTATAGAACATTTTAAAAAGTAATTAAAGAACACATTTGAAAAAAGAAAGACCTCCCTTATTAGGGGATCAGAACAACCAATATTGTGAAAATGGCCATATTATCAGAAAAACTTACAAATTCAAAGCTATCCTTATTAATTCCAACAACACACTTGAAAGAATAAGAAAAAATATACTCCAATTTTTTGTACTTATAAAACTTTATACTTAGACCTTTACACTTTGTATTTACGTACACTAAGCGTTTGATAGTATGTTAACTGACTTTTTAAATGATGGGTACATACCATACAATATTTGCAACTTACAAAATCATTTTCTACAATAAAAAATTGCGTGCCGGAGAGATGGCTCAGTGGAATAAGCGCTTCCCTGGCAAGCGCGAGGGTCTGAGTTCAATTCCCAGTTCCGCAAAAAAAAAAAAAAAAAAAAAAAACAATAAAAAATTGCTTTTAGACAGAGGATATAACTCAACAACACAAGTGCCTGCCTGGCAAGCACAAGGTCCAGAGTTTGAATTCCAGTGCTAAAAGAATAAAATTATTTTATTCTTTTGAAAATACAAAAAGAATGTAACAAAATGGCAGCAATATTCAAGAAACTATAATATGCAGAGGTAAAGAATTTTGGGGGAGGGGGGTTGGGAAATGGCTCAGTAGAATAAGTGCTCGCATGGCAGCGCAAGGACCTCAGTTCAATCCCCAGTTCTGCAAAAGTAAATAAATAAAGCCACAAAAGGAGAAAGCTTAGAGTTAAAAAAAAAAAAAAAAAAAAAAAAAAGAAGAGGAATTTTAGGGGGCTGGGATGTGAATCAGTGGCAGAGCTCATGCCTAGAATGCACAAGGCCCTGGGTTCAATCCCCAAAGGAGAAAGCAGGACAGCTTTAGTAGTAGGAAGTCAGGTAGGCAGTCAGGCAGGCAGGTAGGCAGGAACAAAATTCAAATTATATATGCATAATGACTAAAAATACAGTTAATTTTTAATGTTTACAGTAAAAGACACACTGCCATTAATCTCCCTCAGTATACTTCCTTATCTTCTAAAACACTTAATCCTTCATTCTTGACTTTTTGAAGTAGTTCTGCAAATTTTATGAGTTTTTTGTTTTTGTTTTTTGTACTAATGTTGCTGATGCCCTGAATCAATAAAAAAAATTTACTATTCCTAGTTCTTTTGACTTTAAGGAAAAGCTAGAAGCTGCACAGTGCAAGATCTGGAATAAGAGAGATAGTGTGCAATGTAAAAATCTGCACACACTGGCCTTTCTATTGGGTGGCATGTGGCAGTAGTATTCATTGTGTTTTTTATCACATTCCAAAAAGACTCAACAAAGAGGACTTCCAGAAGTGCTCCGGTGTGTTTGACTGATGGTGACAACTTACGAAGCTAAGAGCTTAACTAAATCTGCTCAGCAGTTCCACACCCTAGGGTATGGAGGCCACAATCTAGAGTGACTCATGACTTGAAGGAGAATGAGGAAGAACAGAGGGTCCCATTCTTCCTCAGAGGACCTCCAGTCTTCGCCATTAGCTTGGACATCATCCCCTGGCTCTAGCACAGACTCTTGGCTTCTGCTTTGGGTCCTTCAGTCTTCTGGTGTAGACTCATCAGCCTTCCATCATAAATCAGCATTCTGATACAGACTTGCACGGAACACTGCAGTGAGCTCCAGACCTGGATCCTTCAGTCTCTAGTGTGCAGACACCCACTGTAAGCCTATCGGAATTTCTTATACATTTGTACATCTCGTGCTATGTCTGTACCTCTAGTAAAACTCTGACTGATATAGATTTTGGTACCAGAAGTGGCTGTAGGAGAACAGAATATAATGATGGCATTTTTTAATGGCTTTAGGAGTTCTTGGTGTTGGTTCCATGATTTGCTGAGACCTAAAGTCACAATGGTCTCTCCTGATCCTAAGGAATATATTGATAATCCTTGATGTGAGCTAACTATTATGTCACTTACATCCATTTGATTATCCTAACTCACTACTTGTGAGATGTCAGGAATTTAGCAGTTCTGTACATAGAAATTTTGAATTTCTTTGGCAGAATAAGTAATATAATAATGCCAGCTGACTGGTCTTAGCCTCACTGGATAAATTTGAGTGAAAATAAGAAACTCAAAGATTCAATAAGAAATTTTAAGTTTCTCAGTGTGTCCTGAAAGATAATATCCTCTCTTTTGGCCACATGGCTGAGACTGTAGAAACCCAAATGCAGGCCTTCATAATTCGATTGGCTGAACTGCAATGCAAATTTAGTGCTCAGCTTCGAAGGGTATCTGAAGCAAAGGTGAAGCCACTGATAGGCAAAGAATGGGACCCCATCAACTGGGATGGAGATGTGTAGGAGGACCATGAGGATGCTGAGTTCCTGGATGCTAAGGGGATTGTTTTGTCAGAGGAAGAACTTTTCCCACCCACTGTGGCAGAGGCATCACCGGCCCCACATCTGGAGAAACTAATTCTTTGTTGACCAAACAGGATAATGCTGAGACTCCTCAGGACCCACCCTTACAACCCATTTTTGCCTCTAGGCCCATAACCAGGCTTAAATCTCATAAGGTGCCAAAGGGTGAAGTATATAATGTGATCCATGAGGAGATCTGTTATTCTCCCAAAGAACTACTTGAGTTTTCTAACTCTTATAAGCAGAGGCCTAATGAGCAAGCTTGGGAATGGATTTTACGAGTGTGGAATAATGGCAACAAAAACATACACTTGGATCAGGCTGAGTTTGTTGATATAGGCCCATGACATAGGGAGTCTGAATTTAATGCTGCAGCTCCTGGAGTAAAGAAAGATGTTAATAGTTTACTTGGCTGGTTCAGGAAAGTTTGGCTCAAAAGATAACCCATGGTGAATGAGTGAGAGATGCCTGATATTCCATGGTTTACTATTGAGGAGGAGATTCAGAGGCTTAAGGAAATGGGAATGCTGGAGTGTGTTAAGCCTAATCCTCCACATTTGGATGATCCCAAAAACATCCACTTCACTAACACCCTGAGAAACAGATTTGTGAGGGAAACACCAGCATCCCTGAAGAGCCCTGTCATTTTTCTGCATGCCAGATCTTACAGTGGGGACCGCAGTTAATCAATTGGGAAATTTAAGGGCAATGGCTTGACTGGATCTCTGAATGGCAGAGGTTAAGTGGCAGCACTCAATCTTCAAAGGCAGAGTCCCTACTCCTACCTTAACGGACAGCAAAAGCACAACAATGGCCAGAACAATCTGACATGTGCAGACTTGTGGTATTGGCTGATTAGCCATGGTATTCCCAAAAGTGAAATAGATGGGAAGCCTACAAAATTTTTACTAGATTTATATAATTGAAAAAAAAAAAAAGCAAAGAGAAAGAATAGAGATCTACTTCAAGTTGTGGTAATAGGCAATCATGGCCCCTCAACCAGGTCCCAGATTTGAGCTAGTTTACCCATCCTGAACCCCTTGAATGATGGGGCGGCCAGGTCTCCTCGGGGAAGGATCTTAATGCCCCCAAAATCTATAGCCAGTATTTCGCCCATCCTTTCCCAGAGGGACCTAAGGCCTATTGCCCAAGTGAATGTGCACTGGGGAAAGGGAAATATGATCAGATTATTTTGGATTCTATTGGACACTGGTTCTAAACTGACACTGATTCCAGAGGATCCAAAACATCATAATGGCCCTCCAGTAAGAGTAGGGGCCTATGGAGGTCAGGTGATGAATGGAGTTTCAGCAAAGGTCCATGTCACAGTGGGTCCAATAGGCCCACTAGAATCTACCCTGTAGTCATCTCCCCTATTCCAGAACGTTCAATTGGAATAAGTATACTTAGTACTTGGCGGAAACCTCACATTGGTTTCATAACCTGTCATGTGAGGGCTATTATGGTTGGAAAGGCCAAATGGAAGTCATTAGAGTTGTTAATGCCTGGTAAAATAGTGAACCAAAAGCAGAACCACATTCCTGGAGGGATTGCACAGAGGGTATATTCCGGGAGGGACTGCACAGAGTAGTGCCACCATCAAGAACTTGAAAGATGCAGAGGCAGTGGTCCCCACCACATCTCCACTTAATTCTCCCATTTGGCCTG